GCGCGGGGGCGGAGTGCGCAGCGCAGATGCGGCCGGCCCGCGGGGCTCGCCTGCCTGCCCCTTTCCCCGCAGTTCCCCGCGACCCCTCCAAAGCCCCCGATTGAAATCATCGTTGTGGTTGCTATGCGGTCAGCTAGGGTTGCTATGGAAGCACTCCTAAACTTATCCTTCCGCAAACTGGTTGCCCTAAACTCTTCATCAGGGGAGATTCTGGAGCAGCCGCTGTTAGAACGGATAACCACCATCATCGGCTCCGTGTCGATTTATCGAGCTGTTACTCAACTGTTAGACACACGGCCAATCGCACACTGCCGCGTTCTGGAGCCGAGTGTCTCGGGTAGGAGCCCGCACAAAACACCGTTAAAAGGAGTACCGGGTGTTCGGGGCGGTTGTGGATTGCATGAATTTATACATTTCCACAGTTTGTTTGTTTATTATTTATTTTTGGTCTTTTTGAGACAGGGTCGCGCCATTCAGTTCAGGCTGGCCTGGAGCTCATTTTGTTGCCCAGGCTGGTCTCGAACTCACAATGATCCTCCTGCCTCAGCTTCCCAAGTGCTGGGATTACAGGCGTGCGCCACCACGCCCGGTATTTCCACAGTGTAAAGCCATACCTGGCACGTGGTTCACCTCAAGAGACGTGCCTTCAAGAAATGTCTACATAGCAACAATAAAAATCGCCAGTGGCCAACGTTACCATTATTTTAAATTTATAGGTGAGGAAACTGAAGCTATCCATCACCCAGTTTCTGAATTTGTAGAAGGGAAGGCCTACTCCATCTTCAGGTTCCAACGCTGTTTTTAATTACAAATGCCAGGAGCGTGCTGGGCGTGGTGGCGCAGGCCTATAATCCCAGCACCCTGGGAGGTTGAAATGCAAGGATCATATATTCCGGCCTGAGCAATTTAGCCCAGGCTAAAATAAATGCATACGAAATAAAAAGCGCTAGAAATATAGCTCGGTGTGAACTGTCCCAAAACACCTCTCCCCTGCAGGAGGGCTTGGAAGTTACTGCGTCTATAATGATATAATAACATTATTTTAACAAACTGTAGTAACCACTATCATTTACAGTGTGTGTTCTTCATCCTCTCTGAATTTTACAGACTAGGCTCAGCAAAGTTGGGCAACTAACAAGATGATATAGCCAAGAGATAACAGAGTTTTCCAGGAATTTCCTGAGTGTCACACTGTAAATTCTGCCTCAACTTGGATTTAAATCAATTATCATCTTGCCTAAGGTGGTGGTGCCCGCCTGTAATCCCAGCACATGGGAGGCCGAGGCAGGAGGATCACGGCAAGGTTGAGAGCAGCCTGGGCTACAGCGTGAGTTCAAGGCCAGCCTGCACTATCCAGGGAGATCCTGTCTCAGAAACCACTGTTACTTCATCGTTTTGTGAGAAAAGCCTTCCTAAGACCATTTTAATTAAATTGGGTGGCCATCGTTTTCTGTCCTTTTGATCTTTAGTTTTTTTCGTAGCGCTCACCAGCAGTTGGTATGGTACATGTCTGCTTTTACTTTTTAATCATCTTCTCCTCAAACACCTAGCTGAGAACAGGGATTTTTTTTCTTTATGTTTGCTGCATCCTCAACCCTTAGAACAATGCCTGCACATAGTAGGTACTCAGTAAAAAGGCATTGAATAACTAGATACATCTTTATGTGATCTGTAGAACTATATTGGCAGTCAGATTTTGGCAATAGTCAAGGACAGTCCCAGAGATTATAAGTATGATTTCACCACAGCATACATCAGCACTTTCCAGATGTCACAAGTTTCTCCCACCTTTATTCTCTTTAGTAACTCACCAAAAATTTCTTGCTCTTAGGTACAATTCAGTGTGGCTGCTTTTCTTGACTTAAAAACCTGTATGAATGAAAGGGGGTGGGAAGCGAGTCTTACATTCAGTGAAAGAAAAACTGGACAAGAAAAGAGCAAATCCTCTTGGTATGCACACCTCTCTAGTGCTGGATTTAAATCCTCTCACTACATAGTCTTTACCTAATCCCTTCATATCTGTGTAAGTCAGGGTTTTACTACAGAAACAGATATAATACAAGATGTAGAAATGCATAGGAATTTACAAGACTGGCTTACGACGGTCAGTCACAGAGTTGGGCAAGGAAACGTGCAGAAAGTGTCTGCACACTGCAGATCGAAGGATTCTGTCAGAGGTCTGGAGTTCAGTGCAAGTCTGTATCAGGAGGCTGACGGGTCTGCAACAGGAGGCTGAGGGATCCAAAGCGGAAGCCGAAGCGTCTTCTAGAAGCCAGGCGAGGGCCGGCGATATGGCTCAGTGGCACAAGAGCCTGCCTGGCAAGTGGGAGGTCCTGAGTTCGATTCCTGGTACCCCCCCCCACAAAAAAAAATAGAAGCCAGGCAGTAGCTTCCAAGCTGAAGGCGAAGACTGGAGGTCCTCTGAAGAGCAGAGACCCTGTCTGTTCCTCCTTGGTTCCCTTTTCTACCATCCAGGCGATGCTCCACCCTAGGGCGGGTCCTCTACAACCTAGGGCGCAGAATTGCTGAGCTGATCTAGTTAAGCTTCTAAACTTCCCAGGTTGACACAATCAATCAACCACTACGCTATCCTAAATGGGTAATTTCCTTAGCTCGTACATAAGTGGGCACCAGGGGCAGGGAGAGTGGATCAGAACCCAATCAGAGCATATGTCACTGGAAGAATATACTGAATTATAATTTGGTTCAAGAATCTTCTCAGCCTAAGGCCCTTGACCAAGCTGAGTTCATCCTGGATATTTTTCTTTATGGAGACCCTACTATCAGATCAAACAAGTCAAAATACACTCACAATCATAATGGCAGTGCTAGGGGATTTAAATGGATTTGTTTGATGATAACGATGATGATGATTTAGTCTCACTGGGGATGAAATCTGACTTAGTTACTTTTCTCTTTGCCGAGACAAAATACTCAACACCCAGAGTTAAAGAAGGAAAGGTTTGTTTTGGCTTTCATTTGTAGAGGTTTCGGTCCATATAAGTTGGCTCCAAGGCAGGGTGGCATAGCAGAGGGGCATGGCAGAGGAGAAGCAGTTTATGGCAGGCAGAGGCAGAAAGGTAGCAGCAGCAATCACAGCCATGCCTGCCTTCATATTTCATCCAGGACATCCGTCCTTTTGGCCGTGTTACCCATATTCAGGGTAACGTGGATATGTTAATCCCAGCATCACATACCCTATAGCAGCCACCACTGAAAAACCCCACCGATGACTGCCTGAGCCTTCGGGAGACATCTAGACCTAGGCATAACATTCTGCACCCAGCCCTCAAAAGACTCAGTGCATCCTTTTACGCAAAAGGCATTTAGTCCGTCTCTAAGATTTGCTGAAGTCCTAACAGTTTCACCATCGCTGAAAAGTCCAAGTCCAAAGTCTCTCCTGAGATTTTTTTTTTTTTTTTTTTTGGTTTTTCTCCGGTACCGGGAACCGAACTCACAACCTTGCGCTTGCCAGGCAGGCGCTTTGCCGCTGAGCTAAA